CGGCTCGGCAACTGCAGGGCCGTGGAGTTATTTCTGTTCGAGTTCTGGGGCTCGGCGCTGCCGCCAGCCTCGCCCTGCGGCTCAGGGACGGGCTTGGGCCCCAACTTTCGCTTCTGCTTCTGCGAGAGGGAGGTGCTGGAAGTCCAGGTGGGAGGCAAAGCGGAGGTAGTGGTGGCCGAGTCCTGGCTGGAGCCGGTGTCCGGCGACTGCATCGTGCCATCGCCGGCAGCCTTGCAGCACTGGACACCCTCCTCGTGCCCCACAGCCTGCTTGGACATGGACTGCGACAGCACCCCGCTGCAGCCCTGGATCTGAGCCCCGTTCGTCTGCGAGTACACGTTGCTGACCTTGGTGGCCTTCTGCTGCCCGTTGTTGTTGCACACCTTGTAGCGGATCATGAGGATGATGATGAACACGAGCACCGAAGCCACGATGATCCCACCAATGATGATAATCATGGTCCCCCCCAGGAACTGGGACTGCATGAAGTGGCAGCGCACGTAATCCTGCTCGGTGGTGAACTGTGTGCAGCCCACGACCCTGGTGGCCGTCAGCGAGGTGATCCCGTCATCGTAGATGGCCAGGACGCACAGGTCGTACATCGTCCCCGCGGCCAGGTTGTTGACCAGGAAGGTTTTGCTTGTGGGAGGTATCATTCTGGGGGAGAAGGAAACCAGCGTGAATGACCCTGGCAGACACACAGGCACCTCCTGGCAGCCCTGAACATGCTGAGCACCACGGCTTGGCTGTCCCACCTCTGCCACAGCCCCCACAGGGCTGATCACCGTCCCCCAGCAGCTGCTGCCCAGTGTCTGATGTGGCGCAGTCACCACCAAGCTCCCCAACACAGCTTGGCACGGCAGAGCCTCCCATCAGAGCAACCACATCAAAAGCAGAATCACACAATCCCAGGTTCGTTTGGGTCAGAAGGGACATTTAAAGGTCACCCAGTGCCACCCCTTGCCATGGGCAGGGACACCTTCCACTAGCCCAAGTTGCTCCAAGCCCCGTCCAGCCTGGCCTTGGACACTTCCAGGGATCCAGGGGCAGCCACAGCCTCTCTGGACAACCTGTGCCAGGGCCTTCTCACTCTCACAGCCAGGAATTCCTTCCCAGTATCTGATTTGTATCTACCCCCTTTCAGTTTAAAGGCAGCACCCCTTGTCCTATTAATGGGACAAAGAAATTCATAAAAGAAATAACCAAACAAAGACAGTGTTGAAGGGTGTGATGGCCACGCCCAGCAGCACAGATCTCCCCTGCACTTCCCCAGCATGGACACCACCAGAAAGTACTGCAAGGAACACTGTCACGGACACTGTCCTCCCTCTGCTTCCAGAAAGCCGAGCACATTAAGATCCATTTAATCCATCTACTCTCACAACCCTTCTCGGATCAGTTCAGAGGATTAGAGGTCCGTTTGGATTAACTAAAAATAACACCATTCAAGGTAACTTCCCCATCTGTGAGTAGAAAATGGCATGAGTCCTTCCCAAGGCTCCCACCATGAGCTGCCAGGGGCCAGGCTCTGCTCGGCCAGCCCAGCACGGCACGGGAAGTCTGGCAGATGAGCTGCCGGGGCCGGGGGCCCCACGCCAGCACCGAGCACCCGGTACAGCCCTGCACAGGCTGGGGCAGCCTTACCTGTAAACAAGGGAGTCATCGTAAGTACCATTGTACTGGATTTGGAACATACGTATCCCAGGTATATTCCTCTGGAAATTGAATTTCAGCAGAGCAGTGGAGGACGTTGCTTCCGCAACAACCACCTTCTTATCCTGGCTGACTTTTGTATCCCCGTTGCTACTGCTCGCGTTGGAGCCCGACTTGGTGGATGTGGAGATATCCGAGGAGCCCGGGTCGGGCTCATGGATGTGGTTTGTGCTGTTCAGCAGGTGGGGGAGTTTGATGATGTGCAGGTCCACCGTCTGCGTGGCCTCCCCTGCCGGGTTGGAAGCAATGCAGGTGAAGGAGCCTGTGTCCTTCACCGTCGTGATGAGGATGTCGAGCGTCCCGTTGTCATACACCACGGACCTGGTGGCATTGGAAATCAGTTTGCCCTCAGGTGAAATCCAATGGATGGCTGGCTCAGGGTCGCCCCGGGCCTTGCAGCGCAGGGCTGCCCGCTGCCCCTCCAGCACCCGCAGCTCGTGGGTGTGCCGGGTGATGAGCGGGGGCTCGCAGAGGAACTCCTCCTCGGGGATCGACCAGAAGTACCGGCCAGACAGGAGCGTGGGAGAGGCACAGGTCTCCAGGTCGTCCTCCCTGGAAAGGCGCCTCAGCCACAAAAGCTCACAGTTGCAATGCAAGGGGTTCCCACCGAAGCTCAGCGCAAACGTCGAGGGGCTGATAATTCCTGAGGTTGCCAGCACCTGAGCACGCTGGAAGAGTGGGTCAGGAGGAAGCTTCTGCAGTTTGTTAGACGTGACGTCCAGCCTGGTCATCTTGTGGAGGTGGGAGAAGGTCCCCTTAGGAATATGGTCAATCATGTTGTGGTCTAGACTGAGAGTGTGCAAACTGACCATCTTCTCCACGGCATCCCAGGGGATGGTTTCCAGATTGTTGTAAGACAAATCCAATTCCTCAAGGGCTAAAACATCGTCAAAAGCTGTGGAAGAAATTAAAGTCAGCTGGTTGTTGTTCAGTATCAAGTGGTGGAGATTGGAGAGCCCGCTGAACATGTCATTAGTGATCTTAGTCAATCGGTTGCTGTTCAAATGCAGAGCCCGCAAATTGCGCAGGTCGGCAAACGCGTGAGGGGTGATAAAACTGATTGTATTCCGGGACAGCGTCAGGTCCACCAGGCTGGTCATGTTGGCAAAGTCTTTCCTTTTAATGTTTGTAACAAAGTTGTCTGCCAGCCGCAGCTCCACAGTCCTCCTGTCAATGTTGGGAGGAACAAACAAGAGCCCTTTCTTGGCACAGAGGGTGGCGAGGTTCGGAGACAGGATCTGACAGACGCAGCGCTTGGGGCAGATCTGAGCTCGCACTGCTATGCCAATGAACAGCAGAAACAAAAGCAGTTTTTCCATTGTAGATCAGGTTCAAGAGCCTGCAAGGGAGAGCAAATGGCAGTTAGTCTCTGTGAGACAAGCACAGGACACGATAAAAAAGCCAAGACAGACTGTGGTTAAACCATGAAGGTTCAGGTAGCAGTGTGCCCCTCTCATTGCGTTACCTGGTTCTTTGTCATTCCCCTGTCCTGACAGAGGAGCGCCTGTGCTGCCTGCCAGGGGACAGCTGAGAGACAGGCATGTTTGCAAACACACAGATACACACACAGACTCTCAAATACAAGGGACAAAATGACTGGGAAGCCACTGGTGGCACTGCACATGCAGCCTCTCAGGTCCCTCCTGCTAGAGCCCATCCCACCACACAGTGCACCTCTGCATCCCAACAGACCCCTCAACCTCCTGGGCTGGAGATTCTTGGCCACAATGACAAATGTCCAGGTGTGGAAAATGAGGGGTGGTTCATGTGTGCTTCACTTGCTAAGCTGAAAGTCCCAGTTGCCTTGAAATCACTGCAGCTCCATGGCTTTACAGCCATCTCCACTGAACGTTTAAGCTCTTAATGCTATTTTCAGAATAAACTCAGAAGGAGCTAATTTTATGTCATTCAAACCCCAAAAATGCAAATAAAACAAAAAAAATATATAAAACAAAACCCAAGAATAGCCCCCACAACAGGGATCTAAATAAAAATGGATCATGGGCTAATTTTAGCGGATCACAGCTCTCCGGCTGCCGCTGCTCCCCCCGGAAAGCCCGGCGGCTCAATTATCCTTATCGCTTCCAGCGCCAGCCCCGGCTCCTCACGGCGTGTGGGAACAGGGCCGACAGCAGCAGTGCCCACGCCAGCTCACTGAGATCATCCATCAGTGACTATGCCAAAGGCTCCGTGGAGGGAGGGACGGGGGATGCTCCTTTGTGGAGCAGGTGGGAGCACCGTGGAGGTCCCATGGAGAAGCACCCACGTGTCTGAGAGGGAATGTGCCATCGTGAGCCACATAGCTCAGAGGGGCTTCACACTGGGAATGAAGCACCCAGCTCCCTTCGGGACCAGCACAATTACACGTGTTCGGATCGGATTACTCAGACCCATTATCGTCCCAGAGATGCATTAATGAAGATCAGCTAAAATACAGTTTCACAGCCAGCCAGGAGCAGGAATCTTAAATTGTCATTGATATTTAAAGCCATTTAACGTCAGAACAACAATTACTGCTCCTGTTGTCCATCCATAACCCATCGGTGGTGCCATGCAAGCCAGGGAGGCAGCAAAAAGGATGAGTGAAAATACCAGCCTAAACTCTGCTTTTCAGCACTATTAACGTATTTTTTCCAGATACTTCTGAGGACTGCAGGTATTCAGGACTGCTGGCTCCAACTCTTGAGTCCCCATTGGAAAAATAAAAGATCGTGTTACCAAGGTCCTCAGCGGAGTCTGCTGCAGTGGGCAGTGCTGGGAGTTGCTCCCATAACCAGTACAACCATCACCATTCCTGCTGCTGTTAGCTGTGGCAGGAAGCAGCATAAAGGTATGTTCTGTGGACTCAGTTTCGTGCCAGCACTGCAGGTTGGGGTGGCCCCGCAGGTGACAAGGGCCTGGAGGAGAACGGCAATGCTGAGCAGTGGAGGAAAGCTCCTGGTGAGGCCCCCAAACCCCACTGGTGTCACCCACTGGCCACCTCCTGACCTGGCATCTGCAGTGACAGCCAGGGGCAGCCACCTGCCCTTTAATCTACGTCTGGCACACACCAGATTGGAAGGGGCTCGGTGGCTCAGGGCATCTGCAGCTCGGCCACCGGGGTCCCCAGACAGCCTTGGCTGGGGACACTGCGCTCATTTAGATTTGCTAACTTAATGCTGCTAATTTAGATTTGTGGCTGTGATTAAAGTCATGTGCCTGGATTCAGCCAAGTCCACTTGAAGAACTGCACAAGATTAAACCATATCAGCATATTTATAAGTTTGGAAATGCCGTTACAAGACAAAACAAATTAAACCGTAGCTGGAATGACAAGGTTACAGTAAGGTTACCCACCAGCAGAGGTGGGATTTTTGGATTTTAGGAGAGTTTTTGATACTTTCTCTGTCGGTATCCTCTGGACAAATGCCCAGCACATGGCCAGAGCTGGATGCAATGCCCCTCCTCTCCCAGCACACTTTGTCCCTCACACAGGGAACTTGCAGGGGCAGCAGCACTGACATGGCTTACAGCTTCTTGCAGAAAACATCTTTTCCAATAATCAAATCATGATCTGATTCTTATTAACTGCTTAAAAGATTTTAAAAAAAGGAAAAGAAAGTGAATTCATACATAAAACAAATGCCAGTTTCCTAGGAAAGTGGGCATCGCTCATTTACTGCTTAGTGCCTGCAACAGGACAGGGGTTGTCAAGCTCCTCATGTGACTTTGGGATTCACAAAAAAAGCCTCTCATACACTAATCTTCAAATCCATTCTGTTGCTACATTTGATAATTTTGAGTGATTCATCTCTCTATAAAAATTAAGTTTGAATTGCCATGGGTTGCACAGCTCATGGCCACACAGAGTAGGAACTGTGTCTCCAAAAAGCAGAGAACCTGTGAGCCCTTGCACACACTGCCAGGGGGCTGAGAGCCCCTCCACTGCTCCCCCATCAGCCAGAGGGGTCTGAGCATACCTCAGGCTCTCAGCCCCAGACCACTGCTCCTGTCTCAGAGCAGAGGAACTCCTTCCCCTTACCCCTTTTCCCAGGTAAGGAGCAGGTATGACTGGTTGGGCAGGGCCTGGGCTCATGGGGGCAGGGACCCCTCTGCACTATCACCCCGTCCCTCCCGCCAGGGAGCCTTTGGCGTAGTCACTGATGGATGATCTCAGTGAGCTGGCGTGGGCACTGCTGCTGTCGGCCCTGTTCCCACACGCCCTGAGGAGCCGGGGCTGGCGCTGTAAGAGATAAGGATAAGGGGGAAAAGAAAGTGTTCACCTGCTGGGGATGGAGGAAGGGAAATCCTGGCATCAGCCACCACAAGCACCCCACAGCCATGCTGAAATGGGGACATGTAAAGGGAGATGCTGGGATCTCTGGCATTTCAGCTGCTGGGACCAGTGAAGTGGGGAACGAGGAGCTTCAGTTTCCCAAAGCTCAATGGTTTGTAAACACCAGGGAGTGTTTTGCTGAATTGGAAACAAAGTAGGTGAGAAAACAAACACTCGGATCAAAGAAACTCAACATGGAGGAGCCCTGCTGGCCACCCACTGCTGCCCCAGCCAGGACCACGTGCCAGGACCACAGCCACCGCATTCCCCACCTGCAACCCTTGCAGTAGGACTGGACGGGTGAATCCCTGGGGATGCCTCTGGAAATCCTCTCCCCTTGGCTTTGTTAAAGGGCTTCAGACAGGCACAAACACAACTGCACCCCTCAGACCTCTGGGAATCTTAAAGCAGGAGCCATGTGAGACCCAGGCCCAAAGCAAGGGCCAGGGGCAGCACTGCCAGCTCACGTGGGGATGCTGTCTCTCCTGGCATGATGTGTAAGGGTAATTATCCTTTCTTTACTTTTTAAGCACTTTATTTCAGAATTGTTTCACGTTGTCTGGAGCAGACAACACTCAACAATGTCAAGTCCTTAGAACAGTGAAAGCAACACGAGGTCCCTGCAGTGCACATGGGTCACAGCTGAAGTTTTTGCAGCAGGAGCAAGGACACGGGCAGGTCCTGGGGACTCCCCCCTCACTTCTGTTGACACAGCTGCCTGTGTCCTGCATTTCCCCGGGAATGCTGCAGCCTTCCCAGGAGGCATGGGCAGGGTCAGGATCCTTGTGCTCCAGGGGGATGCCCAACACTCACCACCCTGGCCAGGAAACCCCGTTGGCTCCAGCACCGCTCACTGCAGCTCGTGGCTGTGCTCACCTGGGACAGGGACACAGTAAGCACAGTCAGTACAACAGGGCCATGGGATTTCCAGGGATTTCATTTCTTTCCCTTTCCATTCTGCTCCCCGTCACGCCCCACGCTGTCTCTCTCACACAGGTGTCCCAGCACACACATATATCCCAGTGTTCCACTCTGAACACTCAGTGAGCAGCACTCCCAGCACCACTGCCTGCTATGCACTGACAGTGGCAGGCAAGGTGGTAGCACTCTCCCAACACACCTCCTGCACACTTCCAGCCCACTCCCTGCACAGCTGCTGCTGGTGTGGCCCCGAGCCCGCGGGCACACGCGGGAGCTCCACACAGGGCTGCCCTGCTCCCACCACCCCAGCTGAACTGGGCACTCCTGCCACGCCCGGGAGTAAAGGCTGAGCCAGCTGGAGCAGAAGGAGGGCTCCGACAGGACACCCGGGGCTGCAGAGGAGGCAGCTCGTCAGGCTTTAGTGTCACAGACAGGAGCCCAGAGTGACCCACGGGATGAGGGAAGGCGGCAGCGTGGAGCACGAGGCAGCTCTGGAGGTATTCATGGCTGTGCCGTGAGATCTCACCGGGCGATCCCGCCGCCCCTGGCACGCCGGGATGGGGGCACGTCCTGCTGCTCCACCAGGGGCAGGGGAGAAGGACACTGAAGCCAGCACAAGCCAGAGCAGCTCATGAGAAACACCCTGTGATAAAAACACACATGGAGAGATCGTCTCCTGTTTCTGAGGGACAACTCCGCACTCCCACCTCACCCAGTGTCAAACCCAGCAGGCTCTGGTTTAGCTGTGTAACTATGCTGGGCTCTCCAGGCCTAGCCAAGAGCCTGTTTGGGCTCCTTTCACTGTATCCTCCTGCTCCCTGGGGCAGACAGTCTATACAGAGCTTTCCAGCTCCCAAGGAGTCACTGTACCAAATGCTGCACAGATACGCCAAACACTGACAGCAACATCAGGATCAGCTGCTCAGCTTCCAAACAGGAGCAGGCCTAAGTGAATAATTGTTTAAACAAAGCAGCTTTTAACTTATCAAAACATTTTTACTGAATTGGAGTATTGTGGCATTTTAAAAACTAAGTGTTTTTGCAACACCAAAACACAACACAAATGTGAAGGGATTTGCTTTGCCTCTCCTCTGTCGCCCCTGTGCCATAGCCATGCTCCGACAGCAGCGCTCCACGTGCTGCTGAGCCACATCACGAGGAAATCCGGGACTTCACTGTTATTGTCAAACACCCACCGGCACCCAGGGAGTGCCAGATCCAGGGCTGCCTGTGTCAGCACCACAGCCCCTCCAGGGGAGCGTGGATTTGGGAGGGGGAGAGCGGTGGGGCAGGAAGGGCAGCAGTTGCTCCAGGGTCCAGCAAGGCCAAACCACATCCCATTCCCCAGTGGCCACTGGAAGTGGGACAGGGGCGAAGGGGGACCCAGGTACAAATACAACGTGCCCACACACAGTTTAATGGGGGGAAATCAGAAGCACAGGAAGCAGCACTGTGAAAGGGGAATTGGCAGCAGGATGCAACAGGGCAAAACTGGGAGCTTAACCATAAACAGATTTCCAAGCCTGAACAGTTCGTAGGTTTTATCAAGCACTCTAAAAATAACTTATTTCTTCCACAGTCTCGCTTCTGCACAGCCCACCAAATTAAATGAAAAGTAAACTAACAATGATTTACTCCAGATGGACATTTATTATCTGCGTAATAATATCAGGCAATTGTCACAGCATTAACTGAGGCCAATTCTTTTCTTAGTCATTGTACTCTTACATAAACATATAGTAAATTAAACAATCTAAAACCAGACGGGCATTTATTAGGGTTGTCTCTACACTTGCCTGAACATCACTTGGGGATGTGAGTCATAAAACATAAGCTGGATTTTAAGTTCCAAAGTTTAATTTAATGTCAAGTAGTACCAGGTACAAACTGAATATCCCTCTCATGGAAGAACATCTATTTAGTATTTAGGTCTGGCCTATTAACTGGTAAATCAAACAGATGTGGCCAAATCAGCTACTGAGATGATCTAAGATGTGCCATGTCTACAGCAGCCCTGACACTTCAAAGGCAAACCCAGGGAATCTCAAGGAGATGAAACATTTCCATCACAATAACGGGTGACGTGTGCCGGCAGGATACATGTAATAAAGGAAGGACAACAAGAGATGAAATGGAAATTTGCTTTGCAGAAGCCAAGAATAGAACATGATTTATATGCACTTATTTTAATTTATTTCAGGCTGAATGCAATTTATCTAAACTCATCAAAAATTAATAGGCCATACAGAAAGGAGTAGTAATAAATCCAAACTTGGGGCACAGAGAGTACATCTCTTCTCAGTCACTATTAGCACTTCACTATCTAATTAATCCACCACGTTATATCTCGCCTGGAAACCCAGGCAATCCCACTTGGTGGGACGGGCACTGACCACACAGCCCTGGCACAGCCCTGGCACAGCCCTGGCACAGCCCTGGCACAGCCCCCGGTGTGCTGTATCATTAAGGACACCGACACGGAGACAGAGACCACTCCATGCAGGGAGCCCCAGCAGGACCTGCTGCCCTGGAATGGCCCCCAAAGCTGCTCCAGCCCCCGAGGGCTCCAGGCCACAGTGCCACAGCTGGAGCACCACGTGCCCCTGGGAGGGAGCTCCCCAGGGGAAGGCACAAGGCAATGCTGCTCCAGCAGCTGAGCCCCCAGCAGAGGCTCTCACCCACCCCAGAGTAAATTCCAAGCACTTTCAGGAGAGCTGAAACCCCTGGGATACAGGAGCACCTCACAACTCAGTTAACACCTAAAAAACCCGCGACAGCCACGTACGGCACCATCCCCACACACAGCTTGTGCCCAACACCAATGGCACCAAGGGCAGGGACAGAGCAGGGCCAGGGGCAGTGCCAGGCCAGCCCCCAGCCCCAGGCCCAGCCCCAGCCCCAGCCCCATCCTGGTTGCCATGTGCTGTGGTGCAGCTGGGGCAAGACAGGCAGCACATCGCCCGTGCCAGTCCCTGCTCAGTGGGACCCCGGGGATGGGGAGCGGTGCTGCCTCCCCTCAGCCGAAGGCTGGGAAAGAAATGAGGGTGATGCTGTCCCCAACAAAGAGCAAGCACAGAGCAGAACTCTCCCTGCCCCTCCTCATGCCAATCCACAGTGGCTGTGCCAGAGGGGCTCCAGAGCCCAGCACAGGCAGTCCGTGTCCAGGGGCTGCCAAGGAGACAGGGCCCTGGGCAGTCCCTCCAGCTTCCCACAGCAACTCAGAGGAGAGCTTGGCCATGGAGCCAGGCTGGAACAGCTGCTTGACACACGGACATGGAGCCCACTGACCACACAGCTGGAGCAGGAACCCAATGGACCCTGGTCTGTATTCAAATCCAAAAGAAATCAATGGGTACTCTAAAAGGAATATTTTCCTTTACCAAGGATGACAGTTTCAGTGAAATACTGGGACTCATATTTTTTAAAACTTCAGATACATCTGTCAGGGTTGGGCAATTTTGCCTAAAAGAGAAACTTTCGATGTGCCATAAGGGAGAAACTATTTTTGCAATCTTCCCTTTGGCTCAAAATCTGCTGCTGGGATTTTTCAGGAGGCAGCGCTCCGCACACTCGAAAAAACTGACGGCTCTAAAATACATATTTATGGTTTCCTGATATAGGGAATAAGAACAGAAGAAAGTAATGGTAAGCTGCAGGAAATGTTAGAGAACTCCGGCAGCAGGACAGACAGCAAACCAGGACCAGCGGTGAAGTTGAGGGAAAACAAGAGTGAAAGGAAGTGTTGCTGTACTCCAGGCACTGCCCCGGTGCTGCTGGACAGGGACAGCACAGGCAAGCCCAGGGGTGCTCGGGCACAGGAGTGCTTGGCCATAAGGATGCTCATCTGCAGGGATGCTCCAGTGCAGGCATGCTCAGACACAGGGATGCTCCAGCACAGGGATGCTCTGGCACAGGGATGCTCCAGCACAGGGATGCTCTGGCACAGGGATGCTCCAGCACAGGGATGCTCTGGCACAGGGATGCTCTGGCACAGGGATGCTCAGGGGGGTCTGTCAGGGATCCTCGGGCACAGGGATGCTCAGACACGGGGATGCACAGCCACAGGGGTGCTCAGGTGGGTCCTACAGCAGTCCCCAGGCCTGGCACCACACACCAGCTCCAGCTCACTGACTGCAATGACCGACAGCCGCGGGCGGGAGCCCCATCCTGGCAGGACCTGGTGTGTCACTCCCTCGGGTGACACAGTGTAACTCACTGCACCTCCGCTGGGTTCCAGACTCAGGGAGTTGACCCTCCCAGAGAAAGTGAAATGCAAATTTGCAGAGCACAGGAGATAACATGCAGCAGAAAGTCAGGAGGCCAATCTGTTGCAGAACTGGGAAATCACTGAGCCTGCGCTATCAGCTCCCATCGGCTCCTCCGGAATCAACGCCTGGCTGCTTAAAGGCAACAGAGGAATGATTCCAAAGGGCTTAAAAACCTGTCTTGGAGAAAATCTGAGGTCCTCGGGTACAAGGAAACACGTAAGGAAAGCTGTGTTGGGTGGGATGGAGACAGAACCTCCGAAGCCTGTGGAAGGCACAGCCTGGCTCCGGAACAAGGACTGGTGAGCCGAGATCGGGACACGCGGGAGCACTGAGGCCTCACCAAACCCAACACTGAACTAAACCCTTGTTCAGGGACAGGGACTGGGTGTTTGCTGGGTCAGTACCTGCCACTGTACCGTCACACAGTCACATCCCACAGGGGTCCCACTGGGACTTCCAAGGCTGGGGACACTGGAGGTTGGAGGGAGTGGCAGCAGCCAGAAGCTGCAGGGCTGCCATGGGACCAGCATCCAGCATCAGTAACCCTCACATGGACCCTGATGGCATCAGCCAAACCACTGCCAGTCCATCAAATACGCCAGGACAGGGTGGGAGAGGGGCTGAGCATGGCTGTGCCATCCCGGCACTGTATCCCAACAAGAGCAGGAAGGACAGGAGACCTCACTGCTCTCCATGGCCAGGTCTGTGGGAAGAGACTGTGGTGGCAATGGTGAGGGATGTGAGTGGGAGGAGAGCAGAGCCAGCAGGAGAGGGATCTGGCCCAGGAGGAGCTGACGACACAGTTCCCCCTGGACCCAATCATATTTAATTTTTCTATCAATTTTCATTAGCCTTTTCCCATGCCTCTAGTTCGTCCACAGCATTGCAGGATTTGTTAAAAATAAACCATTACTGTCTCAGGGAGCTCCTTGGCCAATTATTTTAATACTCCTGGGTACCAGTTATCCAGCTCTGCCACTTTTAAACTGCCTTACTTAAACTGTCACTTTTTAACCTTTTTCTTAGCAGTAGAAAATAGCTGCCATGAGTTTGCATTTTGCTGCTCCTTTGCAAAAGGCAAACAGAAATAATCACAGAAAACTTCTGCATCACCCCCACGAATTCCCTGCTTTGTCTTGTGAGGTCCAGCCCTGTGACAGGCTTCTGTTTGTACCTCAAACGTAATTCCCCTCCTGCAGATGGTACCTGACCCAAGGATATTGAACATTTCAATTAAAAAATTTCCACCAATCTCAGAAAACAGATACTCGGGCATAAAAAAAAGACCTTCAGTGTGATTAAGTGTTTTTGGTGAGTAGGGCAAAATTAACACTATTGGACACCAGGAAGAATTTCTTCACTGAAAGAGTGGTCAGACATTGGCAGGGGCTGCCCAGGGAGGTTTGGAGTGCCCAGCCCTGGAGGTGTCCCAGGAAGGCCTGGCCGTGGCACTCAGTGCTCTGGGCTGGGGGACAAGGTGGGCATCGGGCACAGGGGGATCCATGGGCTGGGAGGGCTTTGCCAGCCTCAGGGATTCTGGGATTCTGTTGTCTGGCAGAAACGCGCCTCATGAAAGGGTGGCAAGACAGGGGGGTCCAGCAGCAATCCCTCCTGCACCCCAAAAGCCCTCCAGCCCCAGTGCCAAAGGCTCCCCAGCTGCTGCTCTGGACCCACAGCTTTACAAGTCCCTGCTGGAACAAGTGCCTCGTTACCTCATTTGTTAATTGGCCGCTTCTCCATCCCCCGTCGCCTCGCATTAACAAGCCCCACTGTCAGGGCGGCTCGGGCAGTACCCACACCGGTGCCTGCCGGTCATTAAGCTCGGAGCTCTGCTAACGAGCACAGCCTGGAGCCGAGCGGGGCTGTTCCCGTAATGAACCGCAGCTCCGGGCTCACAGAGCCCGCGTTAGCGGAGATGGCAGCGCTGACACCAGGAGAGGCTCAAGTGACTGACCGCGACCTCATCCACCTCTGAGTCACAGTTCTGAACAGTTGGTGAACGTGACGACCAGAGATGGTGTGAACTGCTCGGGGAAGGGCTGACAGAGCCGTGCTACGTCCTTTCCTCTGCTTCCAAAACACAGATCAAACATCTTGTGGGAGAGAAAAAAAATAATATAAGCAAATGAAACGGGTTTTCCTTCAGCTGGACAAGATCAAAACTACTTTATACAGATTTTTGGAAAAAGAAAAGATATCCTTAGCGGCTTTCAAAACTTCCAGCCCAGAGGAATTATTCTGAACGGTCATTTCCCTCCTCCTCTACATCTCGGTGCATGGAGCAGATACCATCAGATCTGCCACATGCAATCCCATCAGTTTGCAGGATTTATATCTCCCTCTTCTATGCCAGAAAATTTAATGGGTCTCTTGGTCCTAATGTTCTTAACTCAGCAAAGAGTCTGAGCATTTCAGATAAGAGACATACTTAAGGCTTTGGCAAAGAAGTTTAGATTTTAATTGCTGCTTCAAAAATTGATCAGCCGTGCTGCTGTTGCAAGATTTCCATGTTCCACGGAATTTGAGGAAGAGATGCCAGTGGATGGACACCCACACCCTAAATGCAGCCATATCAGGCTGAGGCTGATCCTGCCCCGAGGCCCCAGCAATGCCTAGCAAGGGCACACCACAGTCCAGCTGTGGCCAGCTGTGGCCAGCTGTGCAGCAGCTGACAAGGACCATGCCAGCTCTGCCCATCGCACTGCACCCCTGCAGCTGTGCTGTGGGAGTCTCCAGCTCACATCCCAGTCGTGGCTTGGAGAAGGCAGAAATCTTGGGAGATCCTGATGACCTTTTCCCACATTGTCCCAGCCGCGGGACCAGCACAGTGGGAAGGCGGGAGCCCCAGCACAGACCCCTTCGGCTCCTGGTGACCACAGCACAGCTGCTCTCTGCTGCATCCCCTCCCTGTGTGAGCCTTCCCCACTCGCTGTGATTTTCAAAGGAAAATGAAGTCCAGGTGGATCCCAAGTGTTCCCACAGCCTGTTCCCCCCACTACTCCTCCACACCTGCTCCCCACAGAGTCCCTTGCTCAGGGTTCCAGAGCTGTGCCAGCAGCCAGGCTGTGATCTGCAGTTTGAACATGTTTTAAACTTACTTATTTTCCACTGAATACATTTTGGTATAATTCTCTCTTATCTTAATTAATATCAGGAAAATTACACTGTTCCCCTCTCACAAAAGGAGGCAGAGCAGCATTGTGCAGGGAAATGCTTGTAGAAACAAGGAACCTCCAACTCATACCTCAGGTAAATTAGTGTGACTTTACTGCAGCTAATTGAGTTATCCTCAAATTATGCGCAGAAAAAAGCAGGGACTTTGCTCTCCCCACAATGTCCTCGTTAAAAATGCATCACCACTCCTCATCTCTCTGCTCAACAGCACAGGAACGTGTGTCTGTGTGACGTGTCCCTATCACACCCCACCCACCAACCTCAGCAGGTCTGGCAGGAAGGGGCTGAACAGGAGGGAGAGGGGACACAGGGCTCCAGAAGGCAGGACGGGGCCCCAGGTGCCACCAGGGCAGGGAGCAGCACACAGACACCGTTCCCAGGCACTCCAGGTCCCCCACAACTACTCCTGCTGCTCACACACTCCTTGGATTTTCACGGGGAGGTGACAGAAAGAGAGAGACAAACCCAGAGATGAAGACGGGGGATGTCACCGTGAGTTTTTTAACTTTGGTTTCACTCTGAATGGATGAGGAATTCACCTTCTTCTTCCGAATTACTCCTGGGGAGCCTGCACACCCCGGAGCACCAGGGTTCAGCACCCCCAGCACTGTCCACAGCAGCATCCCCAGTGCCAGTGGGGTGCCTGGCTCAGCCAGTGCCACACAGAACCCCACCCCGGGCAGGCCACTCCAAAACTTGGCCTAAACGTAAGGAAAAGCCATCAAATGTGAAAAGTTTTGAGTGGAGTATTTTGTATTCCAACAAATGGCATTTTTTAGGAGAGTTGCTTAAATAGAAAACTTCCAAGGTATTTCCTGATGCAGAGGCAGCTGCCCCTTGGTTACACCTGCAGGAAATGTCCAGAGGTCTAAGATGTGGATCTAGTGGCCCCAGGGATGAGCACGGGGGCAGGTGCTGGTGCAGTGCAGGGGCACACTGGAGCAGGTCTCGGTGCCAGACAAGGCCACAGCCATTTGCCAACATTTCAATTGTTGTTGCTGATTGGTTTTTTAAGTTTTTTTGCTGTTTTTTCATTTAAGTTTTGTTATACTTAAGAAAGCAACAGAAAAGCAAAGGCATCACATCCTTCCCGCTGCACTGGAGGCTCCAAGATACACAACTACTTTCTCCTGCACTAAATTTCTGCTGAGAAGAACTGATGCCAATTGAATTTCTTTTAATAAAAAAAGCCTTTTGCTGAAAATAAAATTTTATTTTAAGGAATACAAAACTTTTTCTAAAATATTTTCAGCTTTGCTATCAAAGTTCTCCCTTGCCAATCTCTTTTGCTGTCTGGTCCCCTTGTTTAATTTTGTAATTAAGAATGCAGTAAAGGAGATGGAGAAAACTAAAGCACTTCAGTGTCTCAGTAAGGGACAGAGCAGAGCAAAGCAATGCCCTGGGCAGCACTTCCAGTGCTCACAGGACTGACTCATTTTCAAGTCCATTCACCACTCAGAATCTCCAGCACAGCCGATTCTGTGGGCATGGTGACCTTACATGGCTCCTAGGAACAGGACTTGTGAGAAAGGCCACAGAATCCCAGAATGGTTTGGGGTGGGAGGGACCATGAAGACCATCCAGTTCCACCCCCTGCCATGGGCAGGGACACCTTCCACTATCCCAGGTTGCTCAGGGCAAAAGTAAATTTGACAAAAGTAAAATATCTTGGCGTCACGCTGCCACTCTCAGAATGACTGTGACCAGGAAAAGCACCTGGAGGCATCACCAGCAGGGCTGGGGCTGCCCAACCCCCACCAGGACCACCCAGGAGCTGCTGGAAGGAACACAGCCACAACAGGCTGTGCCAGAGACAGTTCAGGTGAGCTGCCAGGACCACTGCCTGGGAAAACGTGGACCCTCAGGAGTCTCAGGAGTGAGGCTCCTAAAGCATGAAATCCCCCTCTGAAGTCAGGGAGGAGAAAGAATGAAGCCAACACCTTCAACCCTCTGCTCCAGCAATCTGCCTGGGTGCCCGAGTCACCTCGGGGGACCCCACTGTCACCCTGCTGGAGGCCGTGGGTGCCCCCGGCAGCAGTCCCGGGGGGCTGCCTGCACCCCAGCCCAGCACAGGGGGACTGGGATGGTACCAGGCAGCACAAGGACGGCTCCTCTGCCAGCTCTGGCACTGAGGGATGACATGGGGACAGTGGGTTCCAATCCAGCTGTGTCACAAAGCCACAGCATAGGAGAGTTCCCAGGGATACAGCAATGCTCACTCTGCTTTACCCACTGAAATTAGGGAATGTGCTGCTTTGCTGTGTGCCATCAGTTAAACTCTCATTTACATATGCACAGAGGCAAACAAAAAAATTCTCAGATTTCCCAAAGCAGGGTCTCCTAGGGTAGGATCTCCTGCAGCAGGACCTCCTCGCTCCCAGGCAGCCTTTCCTTCACACCACCCGAATGAGATCCGACTGTCCTCCCTGCATCCTCCCCGTGTACAGAGCCACCTTCATGCATCATTTCCTTCTGACACATGGACACTCCACACATGCACCCACCAGCACAGCTGGAATTATACTGGAAAAGACTTTTCACAAAGCAAAGTGACTCCATTTGGAAGCCTGATGCCCCTCATAACCAAGGCTGTTGGAATAGCAGCCCGGCCCACACCTACAGAGGAAGGATCATCTCTGTGCCCTGTGATAACATGTGGGAATACTCCGATAGGATGTGACAAAGAGGCCCTGTGTGTGACACAGGCATCATCACCTCTACAGCAGCCATGAGGTACTGTGGCCCAACAAGCCTGCTGCTCAGCCCTGCCCTGCCACAGCTCCAGGAGCACAGGGATCCTGCCCTCCAGGTCACCACGAACCACCCACAGAGGAAGCCAACATTTGCAAAGGATCAGAGCATAAACTTTAAATTCCCAGAGATGTGGGGATGTGGCTGTTTCCATTCCTGTCCTCACATGCTGGGAACTGACTTCCCTTTTCTGTCCCTTTCCCCTTCATTAACCAGCACCCCCAAGCCCCAGTCCCTCCAACTATCATGAACCCCTTCATTCTCGTTGTCTTGGCTGGTCACCAGGAGCACAGTGGTGACTGCTGTTCCCAGGTGCCCAGAGGTTCTGTACCTGCAACTACTTTTATGGTGAAACAGCATTTGTGCATCAACACAAACGGATGTCTCGAAGGACCAAGATTCCATCCTACAGCAACGGGACTGAACCATGCTGGTGCACAAATCCCTGTACGGGCCAGAATGTCATGGCCAGGTCACAGCCCCAACCAGCTGCACCTGGGAACTGCAGGACACAGGTGAACAGAAAATCAGGCACCGCATGGCATCGAGATGGGAACGGGAAACACGTCAGGAGAGCGGATCACTGCCAGCACGAGTGTGACGGGAGAGCTGCCAGGCTGTGACTGAGCATGGAGATCCTGAACTTCCGCTTTCATCCGCCAAGGAAACGGCTCAAATCTTGTCATTCTGGAAGGATTTGAAGAAGCTGCTCGAGCTTCATGGACAGAAGCAGTACCTGAGAGGTTTCACAGCATCACAGATGGGGCAGATGCAGGCAGCAGCCCTAGGAGGACAAGGCTGCTGTGGTGAG